AGTGACCCAAGGTACACCTTGTTAGTTTGTTACATCACTTGGTGACCAAAAGGTACACCTGATTAGCTGGTTACATTACTTGGTGACCAAAAGGTACACCTGATTAGCTGGCTACATCACTTGGTGACCAAAGGTACACCTGATTAGCTGGTTACATCACTTGGTGATCCAAGGTACACCTGGTTAGCTCATAAATGCAAATGATGCATGTCATACATTCACGATTTCATTGACCCAACATTTCACATTTCACATCTCATCATATCTCATGTCACATTATTTCACAATGTCATATCACATATCATATGTTCACCTTTCACATTCTCACATCATATTCACATAGTCTCATACAAGAAACTTCTTGTAATTATATACATCAAAATAGTACATAAATCATACCAAGAACTTAGCTAAAACATGAAGCCATCATCAACTTTACATTTAATGTCTCAAATCATCCAAAGATCATATTCCTAATTTTACTTCATAGGGTTTCCCACAAGAACCCATAGAGCACTCTAATTTATATCAAGACTTGTCTATTTTCAAAATTAATCACATATTCATACATCTCATTCAACAAGGAATATAGTAGAAGAATCAAAAATCAAAATAGAAAAAGTTCATATTTTGCCTGTTTCTCATAGGGTTCTCTCAAGAACCCACAGAACACTCTAATTCATATCAAAACATATTTAATTTTGAAATCAAATACATATTCACACTCTACATCACATAAGGAATGCAACAGAACATTTAGAAAGAAAAATTGAAAACATCCATATTTTGCCTGTTCCTAGAAGCATGCATCAAGCAAGGGATTGGGGGCCAATCCTACTACCCAATAATTATTCCCACACCCCCGAGTGAGGTTTCTCACTTCTCCCCTTACACGGATAAGCAGAAGATGATGTTAAAGCTGGATCTTGTTGGTGTATTCCTCTGGTCTCCCCTTGCTCTTTAGAGAGTGTAGAAGAAAAAGAAGTCTGAAATGAAAAGTGTGCTTTTGGGAGTGACAGAGTATGCTATTTATAGACTTTATAAGTGGCCAGAACGGTCTGTTTCAAATCCAGAACGGTCCGTTTTGGACTCATGTATCATATTCAAAATTCACATCCAGAACAACCCGTTCTTAAACCAGAATGGCCTGTTCTGGGATTGCATTCTAATCCACAACGACCATATTTGGAATGACATGTTCTTTAAACCAGAACAGCCCGTTCCCAACGCATTTTAGTAGTTTGGAACGGTCCGTTCTGGGCTACTAAAATTCAAAATATTAAAAAATAATTTTTGTAAATATTTATTATTAAAAACCTCTAAAATATTCTATAAAACACATTATCTAATTAAAATAATCATAAGAAAATAATCTCCATAAATATATAAATAAATAATAATTAACCATTGTATTAGTAGAAAATTTGAGACGTTACAATTCTCCCTTCCTTTTAAAAATTTTGTCCCCGAAATTATCCTGAAAATAGAAAAGGGTAGGCTCCTCGTATCTTGCTTTCTAATTCCCATGTAGCACTTTCTTCAATATTTCCTCCCCAAATGACCTTAACCAAAGGGATTTCCTTTCCTCTCAGCTATTTTACCCTCTTGTCATCAATCCTCAAAGGGACCGTTCCATAAGTGAGATTATCTTTCAACTGAACGTTGTCAGACTCAATGATGTGGGAAGGATCATGAACATACTTTCTGAGTTGGGAAACATGGAAGACACTATGGAGATTTGAAAGCAATGGAGGTAAAGCAATTTGATAGGCCATTTCACAAATCCTTTTAAGAATTTGGTAAGGACTAATGAAACGTGGAGTAAGCTTACGGGATTTCAGTGCTCTACTTACTCCAGTCCAAGGAGTAACTTTAAGGAATACATGATCACCTTCTTTAAACTTAAGGTCTTTCCTTCTCTTGTCACTATAGCTCTTTTGTCTACTCTGGGTTGCTCTCATCCTCTCTTGGATCATCCTGACTTGTTCGGTAGTCTGTTGAACGATCTCAGGTCCTAATATGACATTCTCTCCAGGCTCTACCCAACATAAGGGTGTCCTACATCTTCTACCATACAAAGCCTCATAGGGTGCCATCCCAATACTAGAATGGTAGCTATTATTGTAGGTAAACTCTATCAAAGGTAGGAAACTATCCCAACTACCCCCATGCTCTAAGATGCAAGCCCTCAACAAATCTTCCAAGGACTGTATGGTTCTCTCAGTTTGGCCATCTATTTGGGGATGGTAGGTTGAACTCAATCTAAGCTTAGTGCCTAAAGTCGTATGCAAGCTCTCCCAAAATCTAGAGGTGAACCTAGGATCTCTATCAGACACTATACTAGTAGGGACACCATGCAATCTCACAATCTCCTCTATGTACAACTTAGTTAATCTCTCCAAAGGGTACCTAATATTAATGGGAATAAAATGGGCAGATTTAGTCAATCTATTCACAATAACCCATATAGCATCCAAGTTCTTCACTGTCTTAGTAATCCAACTACAAAATCCATAAAAATGGTATCCCATTTCCACACAGGAACATCTAAAGGTTGCAACAAACTGGAAGTTTTTTGGTGTTCAACCTTAGCTTTCTGACATATTAGGCAAGAATACACAAATTCCTTTACTTCCCTCTTCATCCTAGGCTACCAAAACATCTTCTTAAGGTCTTGGTACATCTTAGTAGCTCCTGGATGGATACTAAGGCTACTCCTATGACCTTCTTCTAGGATTGCTCTCTTAAGCTCAGGTACACTAGGAATGCACAACTTATCATTAAATCTCAACACTCCATCCACTCCAACTCTAAACTCACTCTCCACACCTTGATTCAACCTCCCTACTTGACTCAATAAGAAAGGATCTACCTTTTGACCTTCTCTAATTTCATCTATCAAGCTATTAGTCACTCTCAAGGCTCCCAACCGAATACTCTTAGGGGTCAATTCACACACTAAGCTCATATCTCTAAACTCTTCAATCATATGCAACTCCCTAATCATCAAAGAAGAAACCCTCAAAGATTTTCTACTTAAAGCATCAGTTATGACGTTAGCCTTACCAAGATGGTAACTCAACTAAAAATCATAATCCTTAAGGAATTCTAACCATCGCCTTTGCCTCATATTCAATTCCTTTTTGGTCAAACAAGTACTTGAGACTTTTATGGTCACTAAAAACCTCAAATCTAGACCCAAACAAGTAATGTCTCCACAACTTAAGAACAAATACTATTGCAGCTAACTCAAGGTCATGGGTAGGGTAGTTTTGCTCATGGGCTTTAAGTTTTCTAGAAGCATAGGCTACTACCTTACCTTCCTGCATAAGCACTCCTCCTAAACCCAATTTAGAGGCATCACAAAATACCTCAAAGTTCTTACTAGGGTCAGGTAACACTAACACAGGGGCACAAGTTAATCTCCTCTTAAGCTCTTGAAAACTTTCCTCACACCTGGAATCCCACACAAAGGGTTGGTCCTTCTTAGTCAACCTAGTCAATGGAAGGGCTAGCCTAGAGAAATTCTCTATGAACCTTCTGTAATAACCAGCTAGTCCTAGAAAGCTCCTAATATCAAATACTGATCTAGGTGCACTCCATTCTAACACAGCTTCTACCTTAGCGGGATCTACAGCTATCCCACCCTCAGATATCACATGTCCTAGAAAGTTTACACTATCCAACCAAAACTCACATTTTGACAATTTAGCATATAACTGCTTCTCCTTAAGGGTTTGAAGGACAATCCTAAGGTGCTCAACATGCTCCTTTCTGGTCTTAGAATACACTAGGATATCATCTATGAAGACCACTACAAATCTATCCAAGTAAGGGTGAAAAATCCTATTCATGTAGTCCATAAAAACACCAGGCGCATTAGTCACACCAAAAGGCATAACTAAATACTCATAGTGTCCATAGCAGGTCCTAAAGGCAGTCTTAGAAACATCCTCAGCTCTCACTCTAATCTGATGGTATCCTGACCTTAAATCTATCTTACTGAACACACAAGCCCCAACTAGTTGATCCATAAGGTCATCTTTCCTAGGCAAGGGATACTTATTCTTAATGGTCACTTTATTCAATTACCTATATTCTACGTACAACCTCATGCTCCCATCTTTCTTCTTAACCAATAAAACAGGTGCTCCCCAAGGTGAAACACTAAGCCTAAGGAATTGTGTCTCTTGTAACTCCTCTATCTATTTCTTAAGCTCAGCTAACTCCTTAGGAGACATCCTATAGGGTGCTATAGATATAGGTGAGGCACCTGACACTAAGTCTATGCTAAACTCAGTCTATCTCTCAGGTGGTAAACTACACACAATCTTAGGGAATACTTATGGGAATTCTCTCATTAAGGGAATCTCATCTAGTTTACTATCAGTCTCAAGTGTTAAGGAAGCTAAGATCATGTACACCCTTTGATTTTTTTTTACACGTTTTAATGTTGGCAGCACTAAAATTCCGTCTGCTTACATTCACCAAAAGGAATAGATTTGTCAAAGCAGTTTAAGAGGACATGGTTGGACGATAACCAGTCCATACCAAGGATAACATCTAATTGACTGAGAGGTAAACAAATCAAGTCAACTAGAAACTACTTGTTAGAAATAACCAAAGGACACTTCAAACAGACTTGGGATGTAATTATAGGGCCATCAGCAGGGGTTTCAACAATCAAATCAAAATCTAAATAAGATACAGGCAAATTCAACTTTTGGACACAAGAGACAGAAATAAAGGAATGAGTTTCACCAGAATCAAACAATACAACAAAAGGAGTCTTAGCTACGAAACAAACACCTTGTATCAAATTTTCTGACCGAGCAGCTCCAGCATCGCTAAGAGAAAATACTCTCCCAGTAGCCTTCAGGCACTCAACTTGAGAACTTGATTCAGTAACATGTAGTCTTGGCGACTGTGGACATTGGGTGCTGATATGACCCTTTCCATTACAATTGAAGCACGTGACATCCTTGTCAAGACATTCATAACTAATGTGGCTCGCCGTCCACACTTCTTGCATCGATCCGCGAGAGTAGAAACGGAGCCTCCAACACTCCTTGTGCCACTCCCAACAGACCCCCAACATAAGGCTTGCTCCCACTAGCAGCAGATCGACTCCCTTGGAACTTAGTAGAAGTGGAGTAAGGTTTACTCCTACCATAACTTGCAGCATGCATAGGACCTCTAGTTCCCTTGTAGAAAGCAGGACGTGCACGATTGTCACGATCATAGATTCTACACTTGTTGACAAGCGTCAGGTAGTGATAAATCTCTTGATAATTGATTGTTGTCTTCACCTCAAGATGAAGGCCATTCACGAACTTAATGCACTTAGCCCTTTCACCACCCTCACCATGGTAGTGAGTATAATAGTGAACCAAAACATCAAATTTTGCAGCATACTCTACCACTATATCATTCCCTTGCTTCAGCTCAAGGAATTCCACTTCCTTCTGACTCCTCACATCATCCGGGAAATACTTCTCAAGGAAGGTCCTCTTGAAGTTATCCCAATTCAAGCGCACTCCTTCATCAATCATCCTTTGAAGTGCTCCTCCCCACCAAAAATGGGCAGTAGCAGTCAACATGTAGGTAGTTAACCTCACCTTCTAAGCAAGGGGACACTCCATCGCATTGAAGATCTTCTCGATCTCCATTAGCCAATTCATCGCAGCATCTGGGCCATATCCTCCTTTAAAGGTAGGTGGACGATTTTGCTGAAATTGCTCCAACTAGTTAGGAGCGACTTCAGCCCTATTTTTGTTACTCATAGCTTGTGCTAACGCTTGAAGGGCATCAACAATCGCACGATCATTTCTACCAACTATAATCTAAGAAAAGAAACACACAATTAAGTAATCAATCACCACACTAGCATATCAAATAAGTTCCAAAATCAATTCATTTACCAAAGAAGCATAGTAGACTCATAACTCACGGCCGATTAGATCAACCAAGCTTTGATACCACTAAATGTGACACCCTCTACCCCAACATAAATGTATAATAATTGAAAGAAATATCTTATTGGGTTAAAAAAAATCTTTAGAATTAAAATAACAATTCCAATAACATGAGAGTAGAGAATTCACATTCATCAACTTAAAACATGATCAAATGCAGAAAAATGAACCATGAGTTCTTCCAAAAAAAAAATTCAATAATGAAATCCTAATTACGCCTAGCTATGCCTTGATGTCACATATCCTATCAGAGCATGCCCAACTGAAGCCTAAGCCTCATCACCAACATCCTCATGTTGATGATCACCTACAACACAATTTTAAACACATACAAAGGACAACAAATGAGTGAGCTCACTCGGTTCCAAGTGTAGAAATAATAGTTAGGCAAAACACACACATATCATACAAACACAGCCATAGCTACACATTAAGTAAAAATTCCAATTATACATACAATAGTAACACATGCATAGTCATTCATCATGCAATGATCTCATGGACTCGACTTATAAATGCATGTGGAGCTAGTCATGTGTCTCATAATCTCATTTCTCATCATTTCATCACTGGTGACCCAAGGTACACCTTGTTAGTTTGTTACATCACTTGGTGACCAAAAGGTACACTTGCTTAGCTGGTTACATCACTTGGTGACCAAAAGGTACACCTGATTAGTTGGTTACATCACTTGGTGACCCAAGGTACACCTAGTTAGCTCATAAATGCAAATGATGCATGTCATACATTCACGATTTCATTGACCCAACATTTCACATTTCACATCTCATCATATCTCGTTACATTATTTCACAATATCATATCATAGATCATATGTTCACCTTTCACATTCTCACATCATATTCACATAGTCTCATACAAGAAACTTCTCGTAATTATATACATCAAAATAGTACATAAATCATACCAAGAACTTATCCAAAACATGAAGTCACCATCAACTTTACATTTAATGTCACAAATCATCCATAGATAATATTCCTAATTTTACTTCATAGGGTTTCCCACAAGAACCCATAAAGCACTCTAATTCATATCAAGACTTGTCTATTTTGAAAATTAATCACATATTCATACATCTCATTCAACAAGGATTACAATAGAAGAACCCGAAATCAAAACAGAACACGTTCATATTTTGTCTATTTCTCATAGGGTTCTCTCAGGAACCCACAAAACACTCTAATTCATATCAAAACATATTTAATTTTGAAATCAAATACATATTCACACTCTACATCACATAAGGAATGTAACAGAACATTTAGAAAGAAAAACAGAAAACATTCATATTTTTCCTGTTCCTAGAAGCATGCATCAGGCAAGGGATTGAGGGTCAATCCTACTATCCAACAATTATTCACACACCCTCGAGTGAGGTTGGTCTTGCAGGTCTCTTCCTCTAGGCTCCCCTTGCTCTTTAGAGAGTGTAGAAGAAAAAGAAGTCAGAAATGAAAAGTGTGCTTTTGGGAGTGCTAGAGTGTGCTATTTATAGACTTCAGAAGTGGCCAAAATAGCCCATTTCAAATCCGGAACGGCCCATTTTGGACTCATGCATCATATTCAAAATTGACATCCAGAACGGCCCGTTCCCAACTAGGGTTTTAGGGCATTTTAGTAGTTTGAAACGGCCCGTTCTGAGCTACTAAAATTTAAAATATTAAAAATTAATTTTCTTAAATATTTATTATTAAAAACCTCTAAAATATTCTATAAAACCCATTTAATTAATTAAAATAATTATAAGAAAATAATCTTCATAAATATAAAAATAAATAATAATTAACCATTGTATTAGTAGAAAATTTGGGATGTTACTACCCTTCTTGGTCTTACATCTTCCAAAGAGATCCTTGGAGATTAGATTTCCATCATTCTTTGCTTGAGATGGGGCCTGGCATAGTGCTTTACGATGTCAGGTGCGAAGTTTTAGGGACCTCGACCTTAGTCACGTCAGGCACAAGTTATGTAGCGTCAAGTGTGGGCAAGGTAGAGAGCTCCCTACTAATGACGTTGGGTGCAGCATGAGTAACATTGGGCGTTAGTTGCTAAAGAAAAAGTGACAATTGTGTAGTAAGTTGTTAGTTGAGAAGTAGAAATGAGTTGTAAATTGTGTGTTGTGAGTTGTAGAGTTATATGTTGACTGTGTAGTTGTATTGAATATATGTTGATTAAAGAGTTGGATATTAGTAGTGATGATTGAATTGTAAGATGTAAAGTATATGTTGATTTCACTTACGTGTTTAATGTATAAAGAGTTGTCATCTTGTTGAGTTGTGTTGATCACTTAGAATCAAATGAGAGATTTTTGACAGTTACATATCTCATTGTGTGGATATTGTATAGTGGTGCTTCAAGAGCCTAATTTGTTGAAAACTCTTCTTAAGAAGTTGACCCTTGAAGTGAATACTGTATTGATTCTCCTTTAAGACTTTCTTAATATTATATGGGTAAGGTCGATGCACACATGTATGAAGCGACCATAGTATGGAGAAGAATATTAAGTTTTATTGATTTTATTATTTAATTATGTGCATTGTTTTACAGATTATTATAAATTTAGTTTTGATATTTATGAATTATAATTTTTAAAAGCAAATATTAAATGTAATAAAATAAATAAAGTTCACTATGTTTAATTTATAAAATAATTGAAGTCAAAATAAGATAACAATTTTATAACTACGAATCTTTAAATTTGCACATTTATTTATTATATTTTTGAATTTTAATTTTTAAAAATATCATATTGTTGGTATAAAAAAATCATATTCAATTTATATAATAAATTATATTAATTAGTGAAACATTTTATAATGAGTTTCTAAGCACACTTTATTGTATTTTCCATTTTTGTTCATTATTAACTGTTGGGGAAAAATAATGAATTGTAATTTAAATAATTTAATATTTGTGCATTTAATTATTAAATTTATGATTTTTTTTAAAAATGAAGATAGAATATAAAAAAATAAAAACATAATAAGCATTTTGTTTTCACACATTTTATTTTAAAAATAATTAAATTTAAAATAGAATAATATTTTTATCATTAAATTTTTTTGAATATTTGCATTAACTTATTATATTAATGAGATAGATGATGAGTTTTCAATGTACATCGTGAAAAATATTGTATTTTCCATCACATTCCTTATTAGCTATAGGGCAAAAATAACGAATTTAAATTTGGAGCGTTTATTTATTATATTTCTAAATTTTATTTTTAAAAATGAGGATATCATCATATAGAAAAAATATAATAAATATTTTTTCACAGTATTTATTTTTAAAATAAATAAAGTCAAAATACAATAATATTTTTTTATAATTAAAAATGTTTGAATATGTGCATTCACTTATTATATTAATGGGTTTTATTTTTTTAATAATAATATCATGTGAAAATAAAATAGAAATAATATTTTCATTATTTAAAATAAAATATTGTTTGGAGACTTGGTTATTTTACATTTCGCCAATAATATATATCCAGCTGGTCAACTACTAGATGCAACAGTGAATTGTCATTAATCAAACAAAAGTTTAAGAGAAAATTGTAAAGGAGTTAACGTGTGAAGACGTACTTTTTCAAACATGAAACAAACACTCCTAAGGGATTCAATCTCAAAACAAATAATAGTTGTTAAAGACTAGAGCTTGCCTATATATACATATGAGGATTGTTAGTAACAAATTTATTTTTATTTATTAGAATTTTTTTAAAATCATAAAATTAAAAGAGAGAGTCATTAAATAAGATATAGGACTTATTAAATTTTTTATTTTCTAATAAATTTCAACCAATCAAAGAGAATATTTTTAAGAGAATGTGATAAAAAAAAGTGTGTTGTTAATATTTTTCTATTCACATAATAATAATATACTAGCAATGTACTCTCTAACATATTTCTCTTAATTAGTAAACTATCTTATTGAAAATCATAAAATCAGGAGTGAGAGAGGGAAAAAGAGAAGAAAAAAAGTCATTTAATATACTATGAAACTAATAAACTTTTATATTTTAACAAATTTCGATCAATTAGAAATAATATTTCAAAAAAGTGTATTGGATATAGTGAATTAATTGCTAGTATTTTTTCTTCATAGAAAGGTTTTAATAGAAATTGCTTGAATATTTTAAAATAATAGATACATACTATATACGATAAAATGATTAATTGCCGATTTTGGACTTTAAAATGCCAAGTGGATATCTAAGTGGAATTTCAAGAGCAATCTAAATGCTCTAGCTTTTATACTTTGAACCAACAAATATCAGCTTGAGTTTAAAGAAAATGAAGCATGTGAAAGAGGTAATCAGATTTATGAGGTGACCAGGTAGGTAGGAATAAGGATATATAGAGGTTATAGGTTTGAGATACGATAAGACTCCATGATAAACAAATGTAATTTTAAATTATAGAAATAGTAATATATAGAATGAGGAAATTTTTTATAAAAAAAAATAGAAACATAGTGTGTATTTAGAGCAATCATAATATAGATAGAGGGATAGACAACAATGTGTATGAGAGAAAAGACGTAAACTATAGTACACCATAAATTTACACATTCTACTAAAATTTTCTTTTATAAAGTAAAATGATATATATACACCACTCTTTCTATCATTATCTAGTAAGTATAATAAATAAATAAATAAATACTTCATAATGAGACTTAATTATTTGTACTGATTGGTGAATTAATGCCACATTGACAAGCATACTTTTCACGAATCAATTGTAAAACAGGAGAGATATGGATGAAGATTGTTGAAGTAGTATGAAATATTCATGCATATTTTCCTAATAGCTTAAGCTTATTTTGTTCATTTAAAAAATATTGAAAAGTATTAAGAACGAGTCCTTTTGCCCCGTTCAAAACCAATTCATTGTAAATTTAAGTTAAAGGATGCAGGCTTGAAAGTGTGGCTTTTTTCATTTTAAAAGAATATATAGTCAAAACCTGACCTAGGTTCAAGTATTGTATTGAGTTTCACTTCAACCACAAGTAGAAAACAGAGAAAAATGTTACATTTATATTTTGTTTAATTTATCAAGATATGAAAATGGAGAATAGTTAATATACAAAAAAAAATACTTAAAAGAAAATTCACTAATTCAAATAACATACTTGACCATACTGATCAAATATTCGTTTTAATGCCTCATCCAAATGCTGCTCATCAAGCTAGCAATATTTGGTAACATTTAATATTCAAAACCATCTAAGTTAGACTCACTAGCACTGAGTCAAAGTGAGTGATTAGAGGAAAGAATGAATCTGCTAGTAATTTTGTTTTTTTTTTTGTGAGGAGAAATCTGATATTAATAAACAAACAAAAATAATACTTTGAAAATTATGGAGCTAGGGATTTGATATTGAATGCTTAAAGGTGATTATTTTCTAGAATGAACTAATTTTGCTCATTAAATTAAATGTGCAGCTATATGCTATTGGCAAATTTTACATGACCCATAGATACTACTCAAATCTTACTCTGTACTACAAGCTTTGGATTGCTGACATACGAGTCCAGAATTAAAAATAGGTAACCTAATAGGAAAAGTCAAAAAAAGAGTTGAATCCAGTTGAAATCCTACAACGTACGAATAATCCATATTTTATGTCTGCTTTTGTCACATCCATCTAAAAATCAATTGGTTTTAATATACATAAATCCTAAGAATTGAAACAAGGAATGTGAGGCTTCCCAACAAACATACATACATGTAGATTGACTCATCCATGTAGGGCAATTAAACTAATTACCCTTTAAGAATGTACATTGAAAATGACAATTTTATTACCTAAGTAATTACATAAAAATAGAATAAAGAAAGAAGCCAAAATTGGTAATGTAAACCCTGGATATAAATGACCTTAACTTAGACATCACAATATTTGCTTCCATTAACTACCTAATATTGATTGATCAATGGTTTAAAGGGAAAGTTTATTCATACTGTATAGCATTAAAAGTATTTGTCAATTATATATATTTAGTTGGTCAACTACTACGGATAACAGTAAATTGCAATTAAGAAGAAAAAAAAACTTGAGAGAAAATTGTCATCAAAGTTATCATCAAAGCATACATTTAAAAAATTGTCCATAATTTTGTAAACTCAGTGTCTAGAGCAAAGGAGTTACCTCTTCAATTTGTTCTATCTTCCGAATCATACAAACATCATAGTATTAATGTATGGAATACAAACTATATCACCCATAAGTAGATTGTCCTTCCAATTTTCATCATTCATATGCTTCAAATCATGATACCGAGAATTGAAGAAATAATGTTGTAGAGCCAAAGTCACTAGGAGCAAGGAAATCATTTGCATGATCTCCAAAAATACTATAATCATTTCTATGTACTTGTGTTTGCACCATAGAGACAAGTCTGCCTTTGACATGTTTTTCAAGCAACTCATTAATATCCGAAGAAAAGTCAGTTGCAACCCAAGCACCGGGACAAGATACACGAGCAATATCAAGGTTATTATCTATTGTTGTTTCCATTTCAAAGACTTTGTTACAAACCTCGATGTCATCATTTGCATTTCCTTTTGCTTTCTCCATTGAAACTTTTTTGAAAATTTTGACCCTCTTTGATCTCTTCTTTTTCCAAGTACTACCAACATTATCTACTTTAGATATTTCCTTTGCTTCCTCACGCTTTGTATCCATGGAGAATTTTGGTAAAGATCCCTTTTGAGCATTCAGAGAGCCAAGTTTTACATCACTAATTCCATCGGAAGATTTTTCCTTCTCAAGTTCACCTGAGAAAAGTACTACAAGTTCCTGCAAGAGACAACAAAAAAGAATATCAACAAAAGCATAAAAGGCTAAGATGCATGGGTACATGTACATGTATTAAGAGGTTTCTATCTAATGCTATTTCTGTCTAAGAGACTTTGTTACAAACCTTGGTGTTATCATTTGCATTTCCTTTTACTTCCTCCCTTGAAACTTTGCAAATTTTGAGCCTTTTCAGACTCTTATTCCTAATAGTATCAACATTGTCCTTTTTGTATATTTCCTTCGATTCTCCACACCTTGTATTCTTGGAAAATTTTGGTAATGATGCCTTCTGAGCATTTAGATGGCCAAGTTTTACTTCACTATTTCCATCTAAAGTGTTTCCCTTTTCTAGTTCACCTGGGAAAAGTACAACAAGTTCCTACAGCAGATAACAAAAAAGAACTTCAACTAGAGAATAAGGATTATGAAGCATGATACATGTATAAGTATCAAAAGGTTGGTATCTACTTTCGTTTCCTTTTCAGCAACTTCGTTATGAACATTAGTGTCATCATTTGTATTTTTTTTTAGTTCTTGCCTTGGAGTTTCTTTGCAAATTTTGAGCCTTTTTGAACTCTTATTTTTTCCAACACTATCAACATTCTCCACTTTAGATAGTTTCTGCAGATCTTCATGCCTTGTATTCTTGGACAATTTTAATAATGATGCCTTCTGAGCATTTAGAGAGCCAAGTTTTACATCACCATTTCCATTTGAAGACTTTTCCTTTTCATGTTCACCTGAGAAAAGTACTACAAGTTCCTACAAGAGATAACAAAAGAAATCATTTAAAGCATAAGAGACTATGATGCATGAGTACATGTACATGTATCAATAGATTTCTATCTACTTTTTTTTTCCTTTTCAAAGACTTTGTTACAAACTTTAGTATCATCATTTGCATTTCCTTTCACTCCTTCCCTTGGAACTTCTTTGCAACTTTTACGCCTTTTCAAGCTCTTCTTTTTTCCAACACTATCAATATTCTCCCCTTTAGATAGTTCCTGTGATTCTTCAGGCTTTGTATTCTTGGACAATGTAGGTAATGATGCCTTCTCAACATTTAGAAGGCTAAGTTTTACATCATTGTTTCCATCTAAAGAGTTTTCCTTCTCAAGTTCACCTAAGAAATGTACAAGTTCCTGCTAAAGATAACAAAAAAAAACATCAATCAATGCATAAAAGGTAATGATGAATGGGTACATATACAAGTATTAAGAGGTTGCTACCAACTTTTGTTTCCTTTTCAGAGACTTTGTTATGAACTATAATGTCATCATTTGCATTTCCTTTAACTTCCTCTCTTGGAAATTCTTTCCAAATTTGCAGCCTTTTCAAGCTATTGTTTTTTCTGACACTATCAACATCATCATCTTTAGATAATTCCTTCGATATATCACGCTTTGCATTCTGGGACAATTTTGGTAATGATGTCTTTTGATCATTTAGAAGGCCAAATTTTTCATCATTGCCATCTGAAGATTTTTTCTTCTCAAGTTCATCTAAGACAACCACTACAAGTTCCTGGAAGAGAGAACAAATAAGAATATCAACTAAAGCATAAAAGACTATGATGCATAGAAACATGTACAAGTATTAAGAGGTTGCAATCTACTTTTGTTTCCTTTTCAAGGACTTTGTTATGAACTTTAGTGTCATCATTTGCATTTCCTTTTAGTTCTTTCCCTTCCTGGAAGAGAGAACAAATAAGAATATCAACTAAAGCATAAAAGACTATGATGCATAGAAACATGTACAAGTATTAAGAGGTTGCAATCTACTTTTGTTTCCTTTTCAAGGACTTTGTTATGAACTTTAGTGTCATCATTTGCATTTCCTTTTAGTTCTTTCCCTAGAACTTCTTTGCAAATTTTGAATCTTTTTGAGCTCTTATTTTTTTCAACACTATCAACATTTTCCTCTTTTAATAGTTCCTGCGATTCTTCATGCTTTGTATTCTTGGACATTTTTGGTAATGATGCCTTATGAGCATTTAGAGAACAAAGTTTTACATCATTGTTTCCATCTAAAGAGTTTCCCTTCTCAAGTTCACCTGAGACAAGAATAAAATGTTCCTACAAAAGAGAACAAATAAGAACATTAGGTAAAGTATAAGAGGATATGATGCACGGGTACATGTACTAGTATCAAAGGGTTGCAATCTACTTTTGTTTTCCTTTTATAGACTTTGTTACAAACTTTAGTGTCATCATTTGCATTTCCCTTTGCTTCCTTCCTTGGAACTTCTTTGCAAATTTTGAGTCTTTTCCAGCCCTTCTTTTTTCTAGCACTTTCAACATTCTCTCCTTTAGATAGTTCCTGTGATTCTTCATGCTTTGTATTCTCGGACATTGTTGGTAATAATGCCTTCTTGGCATTCAAAGAGCAAAGTTTTACATTACTATTTCCATCTGAAGAGTTTTTCTTCTCAAGTTCGCATGAGACAAGCACCACAAGTTCCTGCATAAGTGAACAAATAAGAACATCAATGAAAGCATAGAAGGTTATGATGCATGAGTACATGTACTAGTATCAAGAGGTTGCAATCTACTTTTGTTTCCTTTTCAGAGATTTTGTTACAAACTTTAATGTCATCATTTGTTTTTCCTTTTGCTTCCTTCCTTGGAACTTCTTTGCAAATGTTGAACCTTTTCAAGCTCTTCTTTTTCTTGACACTATCAACATTCTTCCCTTTAGATATTTCATGGGATTCTTCATGCTTTGTATTCATGGAAAATGTTGGTAATGTTGTCTTCCGAGCATTCAGAGAGTGAGGTTTTACATCATTGTTTCCATTTAAAGAGTTTTCCTTCTTAATTTCACTTGAGAAAAGTACTACGATTTTCTGCAAGAGATAACCAAAAAGAACATCAACCAAAGAATAAGAGGTTATGATTCATAGGTAATTGAACAAGTATTAAGAGGTTTCTATCTACTTTTGTTTCCTTTCTAAAGACTTTGTTATAAACTTTAGTGTCAACATTTGCATTTCTTGTTGCTTCCTCCCTTGGATCTTCTTTACAAATTTTGAGTCTTTTCAAGTTCTTCTTTTTGTCAGCACTATCAACATTGTCCTTTTTTGATAGTTCATTCGATTCTTCACGCTTTGTATTCTTGGAAAATTTTGGTAACGATGCCTTTTGAGCATTAAGAGGGCCAAGTTTTACATCATTGTTTCCATCTAAAGAGTTTTCCTTCTCAAGTTCATTTGAGAAAAACACAATAGGTCCCTGCAAAAGATAACAAACTAGAACATCAACCAAAACATAAGAGGCTATGATGAATGGATGCATATACAAGTATCAAGAGGTTGTTCTCTACTTTTGTTTCCTTTTTAGAGGCTTTATTACAAACTTTAGTGTCATCATTTTCATTTCCTTTTGCTTCCTCCCTTGGAACTTCTTTGCGAATTTTCAGCCTTTTCAAACTCTTCTTTTTTCTAGCATTATCAACATTGTCCTCTTTAAATATTTCCTTCGATTCTTCAAGCCTTGTATTCTTTGAAATTTTTGGTAATGATGCCTTTTTATCATTTGGTGAGTGAATTTTTACATCATTATTTCCATCTGAAGGGTTTTCTTTATCAAGTTCACTTGAGACAAGCACTATAGGTTCCTGGAAGAGGAAACAAACAAGAACAACAACTAAAGCATAAGAATTTATGATGCATGGGTACATGTTTAGGTATCAAGTCTTTATTTGACAACTTTTAAAAATATAGAATATAAATACATTAATATATATTAAATAAAATATAATTATAATTATAAGTTATTTATATCTCATTAGCTTATTTTTCTTGATTCTTGTATTTATATTAGTTTTCCATCATCAACATCGTATTGTTAATGTTTAATCTCTTGAAAGTTTTGTCATAAATGTATAATGACATTCAAGTCTTAATACAAAGCAACTAATATGATGCACATCCCAATATCTAGTATGGAATTGATCCATCTTCTATTTCAATGTATTGCAAGCAAGGTAAGAGAATTTAATTTTAACCATGCCATCAACATGGATAGTCAAGATTAGATTTAAGTAGAACACTATCACTAGTGCAAAAAAGGGTATTTACGTCACCCAATTTACGTCGCAAACCATAAACACCGACGTTGTAAAAACGCGGTGGCAGTTTCGTAAATAAGTGGAGACTAATTTACGTCGGACCCCCCATAGACTGACGTAAATTAGGTAATTTACGTCGGGCCCCTCTAATCTGACGTAAATTTACGTCGGTCCCCCTCTAGTCCGATGTAAATTTACGTCGGACCCCCCCAATACCGACGTAAATTTACGTCGGAGAAGCATAGTCTGACGTAAAAAATTCCACTATATTCCCCAACTTACCATTTTCCATTCCCGCGCTCACGGTTTATACAAAATCCCTCTCATTTTCTTTGAATTTCTGAGTCTCCCACATTGTTTATTGCTACATTCAACATATCCAAGTCTCTAAGTGTCTGCACATTGATCGTTTGAGGTTAGTTTGTTGTCCACGTAATTTTTTTATTTTTTATTTTTTTCTATTTGTTCCTCTGGAACGGCCCGTTCTCCTTGCAGAACGGGGTTGATTTGAAGGTGCACATGTTCAGCCACAAATGGAGCCAATCATGTGACTCAAATGCAACTTAAATGCCTTCCAAATTAAATCTAGTTTAGCCTAATTAGCCTATTTAAGTAATCCTCCAATATTCCTATTCTAATGGCCTAAATACAATGGCCAAGCAAATACAATGGAAAGTAAAAATTACAAGAATGAAAATGAGCCCAATATTGGGTATCAAAAACCCAAAGGCCCATGAAGCCCAAAAATAGGCCCAATGAGCCTAAAGCTCAAAAAGTCTTATACTAAGGTCCATAATACAAGACCAAACAAAATGAAATCCTACACTACTCAATATGCAATAAGGTGGTCAATCATGTAAATCCCAAGTGAAGAGCACCTTAGGCCCACCAAGCCCATTGGGCCCACTTGTAGACCCCTAAAATTATCCGGGTCGGAAATAAGACTCAAAGACTCTCGAAGACCGAAGGAAAGTCAGCCGGAAGGACTCCTGGAAGACCCTAGGATGATTCTTTGTAGGTCTAGAAGTCTTAGAGTAGCTTAGAATAAGGGTGTGCGAGGATTGGAGCTCAATACACCCTCCTAGAGGTTCAGTACGGCCGTACTGAGCCATTTGAACT